TGTAGGTAGGCTTACTTGAGAGGGGACACAATTTCATCTAATGTTGTATTAAGTTATTAAACACACAAAAATTCACGATAATATTTGTTAAATTTAGCCCAATAAGTTGTAATTTTTTTCAATTTTGGATTTTCAATACGTTTAAAAATTCAAATGCAATCAATATGTACTATTAAATGCGGTTCATTATTTTGCGCAGAAATACATAATTTTATTGGCAAAATCTGTAAAACTGCGATTTAAAATACTGATGACGCAAAAGGAGAGATATCTTGGTAAAGAGGTTAGGGAAGGGTTATTTTAATATGGAAACACACCTGCGAGTAACGGCCACGGCTCGTTCTGTTTTAGGGCACAATGGGTGAAATAAAATTCACAACCTTTCTCTTTATTTCTACAGCCCTGAGTTCTTGCCAACGCCATTAACTCATCCTTAAGAAAACAACCTGGTAAATGTGAACATTTAACAGGATTTTCACCTTACACCTTGCCCTTTGAAAATGCTATGAATATATTGTGCATGACATGTATTCCTTAACCAATATATCACCTTGGATGTATTTCATATTTATTGTTGTAGATTTTATTATATAAAGGAAATTCTTAAACCAAAGCAAAAGGAGTATAAGATATTTTTATTAGTTTGTTTGCAGAACGTTAATTAATTTTTAGTTCCCTTATGAGATAGAAAGTAAAATAACTGATAAACAATGTGATCAACAATAAGTCAAGTACGCAGTTACTATCAAGATACAAGGGGTTTACTTTACACAGTGCATAAAATAATATGTAGGTATTTCCCGTTAACAAACTGAAGGGTCTATTAGTAACAATAATCACCTGAAACCTCATCACTACTTTTCTTAAAATAATATCAATTATATTGTAATATATTGGTCTATAATAACGCAACCAGAACTCCCGTGAATTCGTTATGTTATATTTTATTATGTTCGTCCATCAACATGTCTTTAGTCATATATTGCAGCATTATCACTTTAGTTTTTGTCTTATTCATATAACATTAAAAAATGTATTATATTTTCTTGATTAAAAGGCCACTTTCCAATGTTTTACTGAAATCATAATTTTTAAGGTTGTTACATAAGGTGTCCTTATGTTTAAGGTTATATAATATTAAACTTAAAAATTTATAAGTTGTATAAAAAAGTAGGTAAACAAAAATTCAAAAACCATACACATTCAAACCGAGGGAGATAACTGTTGAGTACTTAAAAGTAAACTGAACTCAACAACATTGTGTTTAAACATTGAGGTCAATTGTGCATTAAAATGTTATTGTTATCCTAAGACACCACATAAAACTCACACAACAATATTAATTAAGATTTATTTAAGAAGAACGAATTATACAAATTATCATCTGGTTTCACTAAATTAAAAGTTACCATACATTTATTATAGTTGTAAGTGTAACAATTTCAGTTACTACGTCATTGCAGGACACAGTTTTAAAAGAAGTATTGCAAGCAAAGAATGCGTTATTGATATTCCCGCTTAGATAGTTTGCATTAAACTAAAATAGATGCTATTTTCATTGGCATTTATATTTACTGTTATTATTCACTATGAAACCAGGCAACGAAAATCAAACAACATTACGTGTTTACTGCATGGTATAAAATAAAGAGCCCTTTTTCACAATACTTCTTAGCGCGATTTCCATAAATTCTCCTCTTAAAAGCAAGAATAAAAGAGAAAGGAAGAAAGTCGGGCAATAAATAACTCAGTTATTTACAGGCCTACTCTACAGCTAGGCTCCCTGAATCTGCTAGCTTAACATAAGAAGTTAAAATGTATGTGAATAATATTACCTGTGAATTACACCATATATGTATAAAACACAAATTTAAATTAAAATAGTCAATGTAACCAATAGTGTTTAAATAGTTCTTTCATCAGACTAGTAAAGAATTAGGTCTGTTTATGTATTTCGATTCTTTAAATTAGGTATCCTCTTATACAATTATGTCAAAACCTTTAGCTAAAAGTGTACTATTATTGTAAAAAATTGTCTCCAGTGGATTCAAAGATATAAGACATTAAACACGTTGAGATATACTATGAGATGAATGTTAGTTAAAAGAAATATAAAGACTATTGTGTTTCTGAAATATATATAATGGTTTCAATTTTTTTTTCTTCTTAATCATGAGATAGCGAGATAAAAGTTTTCATTTATTTGTGAGTGGCACAGTTTTCTAATTTTTGAATAGTGTTCTTGTTGTGAACATTTATACCGAATTGGACTTTTAACCCTCCCAGCAATTTTCAGAAACTATAAAGTAAAATCTTAGAAAAATCAATAGCTTACTATTGTTTAAAAGTTTGTTTTCTAACACACTACTTTTTACAAAGTTTAACTTTGTACCGTTCATTCAAATAAGAAATCTCGTTCTGTATATACTATGTAAACCCGGTAGTGTACCAAATGTCAACGATAAAGTAAGAAAAATCGAGAGTGGACGAAGAAGTTCCTCCTAAAACTTGACTCCCTTGACGACTTTGCAATCAATAAGTGAACGTGTCTTACATCTGGAAACTCTGAACTGTCTTTGAATGATCTTCCAAAAATATATGTTTTGACTCAGTCCTTTAACTTATAATCCGGCTCAAAGAATCGATTTGGGTAATTTCCTTATCTCTTTTGGTAATTTTTACTGAACATTTAAACTATTGTCGAGTTAGGTATAACAAAGCCATATCTGTATATAACTATGAACTTGATTTAATGTAGTCAAGTCTTCATACATAACCTTCAGAAATGTTTTCGCTGATATTTTTTTACATAATACAACTTGGTCATCCTAAATAAACAGACACATTTTCTGAGAGAGATCCTATAACCATTTCATACTGGATCAAGTAAAAGCATGTTAAGCATTATTTTCGTTCTAAAAAATATACATAGCCTACTAGTTAAAAAATTGAAATAAAAAATTCAAGCCCAATGGCACACTAGTGTTATATAGTCAATTTAACAATTATGATAATGATAATGTTATATGTTACGATATGTATGATAATGTTATATAGTCATAATGACTATATAACACTAGTGTTATAGTCAATGCCGATGGTCAGTAAAAAAAATATTTCGTTTAGATTAACTATTTAGTTATAAATAAAACATTGAATTACATAACGGTTGTGTTTTGCAAAACGTTTGCTATTTATGGGAAAAAATCCCTAAATAAAAAATGTATTAATTAAAAATCGCAAGTATGGATAATATTTTATTATTATAAAACAATATATTAATATTATCGTGTTTAGTCATCCTCCTGTTGGGCCTAATTTATTTCACGTGCCTATCCGTAACGTATAAGATTATAAACATTTAAATGTTTAATTTGGGAATGAAATGCCACTGAATAATACTACTTTATTTACAATCCATTTAAATTAAGAAATTTTTTTCAAATAAGACATAAACTTACAACGCGTGAAAAAATGTTACTTTAAATACAATTAAAGAGCAACAAATGACCTCGTATCCCTACGGTTCTATAAAGAAGATTCCAAGGTTGCATTTGAGATGGGAAACGTACGATAACACACTTTCTAAGCGTAAAGACGTAAACAACCCATTCTGGCGCAGATAGTAAAACCAACCCCTAATGCATAAATTTCATCCCAAAATACTACAAAATGCTGCCATTACTCCCAGGTGCGTTCTCGTAGATCCCCCACTCACCCCCCCCCCCCCAAATCATCCCTTTACGCAGATCCATACCCACCTAACCTCAACCTATTGATCATCGGAGCAAAAGATAATTCCATTGACCTTTTGTAGTCGGTTAAATGGGTACGCAATGATCGATTAAACTCAGTAACCTGGTTATTAGTCGATAACAGTTTTTGTATTTACCTCAACATTACATGGAAGTGCCGATAACCCGTCTTTAGTTTGGCTTGGATTTAGGTTGATCAATGCATTTCAGTTCTTGTTTTTGAAACTTTCAAATTGGGTTGAACAAAAATTCACTGTAACGTGGGTTAAGTGATTGATGGTATTAATTGCATGGGATGGTAGCCTCCGGGTTGCCAAATAATATTAAAAAGGTTTAAATACATGCTATCAAGCAATCCATTTAATTGCAGTATTGCAGTGTTTTTTTATTTGCATTTAATTGAAGAAGTTCTTGTACCACCTGATGATGACTCCACATAGGAGTCGAAACTAGTTGAAACTGCAATTAAATGGATTGCTTCATAGCAGGTATTAATTGGCTGGTCAGTTAATGAATTAGATTAGATCGTTGTTTGTACGTTTGGATTATTAAGTGTAGTGTAGGTTTTCCTTGTATACAATTTCTTTGGAGAATAAATTAGCTTTAATTTTGCACTATTTTAAGGAATTTGGGTTGTATAATTAAATCACTACATAGTTATACCACGATTCTGACCACGATGATCATTGAAATATCAAAACGAGAGGTTTTCTATATGTTCATGTACCTGTACATCTTTTTCTCTCTACATACGATATTTCAAATAACATTATTTCTGAACAAAGTCCATATTTACAATAAGTATCGTGTGTCATTATCTTTTTAGTAAAACTGTCAGGGTAATCTATTATTTTTAGTGGTCATCTTCAAATATGAAGGTTCGCTGTGTGGGTTAAGCTCCAAAGCCAGATGCAATTCATCATTGGGATGTTAATTAATTATGTCTAACGCTACCTATCAACTAGAGCTATGGTGCTATTTCGGTGAGTTTAGTAATGGTCAACTTTAAACAGCAACAATCCCAGGGTTTAGACCGTTCCCTTACAAAGGAGCGTAAAAATACTAATTGTAACCAATTAAAACTAACTATAAGCATCCTACTGTCTGATATAAAGTTGAATAAAACAATTTCTTTCCAGGCCTGGCTACTGAAATAAATATTATGATTTACATAATATATCAAAACAGTTCGCAGCAGTTTTGACTCTGGAAATCTCAATTAATATTGTGGTTGTGTTGTTTCAGAACTTGAAGAATCAGATTATGACTACGAACGTTTGGGTGGAACAGGTTAGTTTAACTTTTACTTACACAAGTACGATAAATTTATGATAATGTTGTTACAATTTATGTATAATTCACATAAAAAATTAATTGCAAAATCTCTTTCAGCAATCAAACTTAGAGAACTTCGTTATTCAGAAATATTTTATTCGCCATATGGAGAATTACGTTACACTACGATAACAAATACGATACATCATTGTTGTTCATAGATAAAATTTTAAATTAAGTACCAACATTTATTCCTGTTGTAGTTTAGTTAATATCACTTTACCTCCTGTAGCGGTTTATCACGTGTTTCGTTGAAGCAAACTAGTAAAATGACAGGTAACAGCTTTGATATTTAAATCTTTGTAAACACTTTTTACATTTAATAATAGCAACCCTTAAGCTAGTAATATTGATTAGCAAAATTTTAAAAAAACCGTGCAATAAACTATTTACAATGATTGATAAACATTGTAAATAGTTCATTGCACGGTTAATATATCATTACAATATCATTATTATCATTATTTACAACATCATTACAACCGTTTATCTACATCAATAAAGCACTAACTTTAGTTTGAGAAATAACAGTAAAACTAAAGTACATGAGAACTTATATCCAATTAATTTCAAAATTAAATGTTGCACTTAAATCCCCTGCGGTAACACTAGGGTATCTTATTTACTTTCTAATATTTCTTTCTAATATTCTGAAAACAGGCAATAAATGCAGTATTCTGATGCTATACAATATTTCAAATTTTAGTTAAACACTCTCCAGTGTGACTGATGATGTGAGATGAGTTGCTAATTATTATCGCCAACAGATCGTTCTGGCACCTGTAATTATCTTAGCTGCTCAAAGATATGCCTCTTTGACTCTTGTTAAGTCTCATTAGACACCATTATCGAAAGCAACGTTATTTGCCGAAGTAACAGACGAAAACGACAAGACGATTTGAAAGAAGTTTCCTCTTCAAGTCAACAGATTACGATGAATCCTGCAATCGTCAGCGTTACTAGATAGGCTCCACTTTCAAACTAATTATGACTCATTAGTGACAATAGCTTGAGAGCAGAAACGCTTTCAAGCGTGACGAGGTAGGATATGTTGATGATTAATGTGAAGAGGTTGCTCTGGAATCTGTAATAGTCAGCGTACTATACAATATATACGTACATATATGTACTATATGAATTATACACGTACTGTATGTATAATTATGCACTTGTTCAAAGTCGTTGTAACCTGTCCCTATCATCGTATTGTTAGCCAAAGATTAGCGTAACTTTCAAACCTGACTGGTATACGCACTCCGTAGTCTGCAATGGTCAGCGTTACAATATGGGCTTCTCTTTTAACTCGTTATGGCTATCTAGTTACAACAGTCAACGAGTGAGGACATTTTTAAGAGTGACTGGCTATGTAAAACGAGCTAACTTTCGCCAACTATGGTGTGTGTAACTATCTGGATTCTTAAAGACATTTCCTGCGATCCCTGTTATGTTACATTAGATCTGCAGAATCTGTCTAATATTTGCCTTTAAGATTTAAGTGAGCATGGTTGGTATAATTTTCCTTCAGTATGCTGCAACCTGTTGATCCCTGAACACTTTTCTTTGAATCCATGACGAATAAAAAAATCACTGAGTTATAAGGTTACTTAGTAGTGTTTATTAGGCAACATTTTCTTTTTTCCTTTTTTTCTAGGACGCTAGGCACGAGCCGGGAACTGTTTTTCCCATTGCTTCAGGCTAGACCTAGGGTTTGCAGAAATATCACGTAGATAAAATCATTTGGTGTTGGTGGGATTTGAACCCGGGACTTTAGGGACTGAAGTCACACACTTACACTAGACCAGCTCACTCCCTTATTAGACGACATAAGAATATATTAGGCTAAAGTGTTGTTTTAAAACATAATGTCAGTTAATAATACTATTAGTGAAGTAAAACAAAACTTAGTACTTATAGACAAGCTGTGCCGTCTTTTAAATGGTAAGCTTACTAATACCCTAAGGCCTTTCCGCACAAATTCAAACCCCCTTTTCAAACTAAGCAGCGGTAGCAAAGTCTTAAGTGCGTGTGCTAAGATCTTAATTAACACGAGTCTATTACTGATAGCTGTAAAACAACTTTGGTAATGAAACGTTAAACCTGGTTTAATATGGGCTTTGCTGATTAATTGTAAAACTTTTGTTTATCTTTATACCCAGTTGTATGAGAGTTCATTGTTTGTTATTGTATATTTTCCCCTGTTGATTAATTAGGTGCAACACATAAATGTGCTTTTAATCATAAATTTAGTAATATGACTCAAAATTTTAGTCACTACTAGATATTTATTTATATTACACAATCCTAACAAAAACCTACGCCTAATTTCATTTCAGAATAAAACATGATATTGCTTTTCCGTATAAACAATTATAAAAGAATATTTAAACTTTGTAGAAGTTGAACTACGTGTGCCGTACTAATATAAGATAAGAACTACGTTCTACGATTCAGGATTACAATTGTTGCACTGCAAGTAGCAGTGGGTACAGCTGTTCTATTATACAAGTTGTAACTAGCTTGCGGTTGGACTTTAACCTAAATACTAGACTGTGATCCAACACTTCCAACTATGTACAATATAATTCTACATTGCGCATTAAGTAAAATATTTTTATGAGTTTATCATTTTCGTTTATAAAATAGGATCCGATATTAAAGGACGTCTCATGCTATTATCACTAGGCCAGTGTATCACTCTGACTGTATTACTAACATGAAATTCAATACCGTTTCTAGAATATGAGGAATAACAATTAGTCATAAAGAGGTACATCTTTATCAACCAAGATAATTACAGACCCTGGAGCAATCTGTTGACGATAGTTAGCAGCTCGTCCCACATCATCAGGAGATGAGCGACGTTGCATTTTCACTAATTTTGCTAATGAGATCAAACGGAGTGTTTAAGTGGCATGTTTCCTCCAGCGCTCCAATCATAAGACCTGCATCGTCGATAAGTGGACCTAAACAGGGCAATTCAATAGACATGGAAGCTTATTATAATATTTTCTACTTTTATTTCTAACATAGGACTTTAAAGCTTGACTCCTAATATGTTGCTTGCAGAAAATCGAGTATCTTTATCTTATGTTTTACCCTAGAGAGCAGTAAAGCTAAAACAAACCCTATCTAAAATTGTATCTACCACGAGTCCCTATGTGTGCACTAAATAACTTTTCAATTGTTTGACATCCAATTAAATGGTTAAAGTTATTGGTGTTTAGTTTTCATAAGTTTGAGCTTATAAAGATTACTGTAGTTTATATTTTCAATCCGATATCCTTTAAAGTGGGTGTTTGATATTAAATTCTTTAAAACAATACGTAGCCTTATTATGCATTTTATCACACCTATTCTTGCTTTCATCAATAGAACTTGCATCGGTTTTATTTGGTAGATGATCTGTAGTTTTAAGGATGAAATTGAACCAACTACTATTGAACCGAAGTTTAATTCCAAGGCTGCGAATAACCAGACTAACTATTGACTGTTTACTTCTACTGTACCTGGTTGGGAAGCTGGGTGATTATAATGCTCGCCTGGCAATGAAAAGGTCAGCGGTTCGATCCTGAGATAGCTAAGTAGCTTTTTGATATCCAAACTGGACCCAGCTGTCCCTGATCATTAGAATTTAAATTATTAATTGGTCCTGGCTAAGATAACAGCTGATCTTAGTCAGTAACAAAGCCTAAACAGATCATCTTATTTCACACTCGCCTTGATTCGTATTCAGCTTAAAATAATCAACTCGGTGTGAGTCACTGACTTAATGTAAATGATAATGAAAGATCTTTATTTTGTATGTAATTTATTTGCTTGTCAAAGAGTTAGTGTACGAAACAAACCTGACTCAATTGTTGGTTTATGGCTTCGTAGCAAAAACGTTCGCAATACAGTATACATATCAGAATTAATCACATATTAAACAATTTTAATAGAAGATATTTTCGGGAATATAATAAAATTAAACAGCCAAAGGTGTTCTATGGATCCTAATGCCAAATAAATAACACGCGTCGAGTTAAAATCCAGCTAAGTAGAGACTTATAGAGATTGAACCCCTCAGCTCTAGGAGTGGTAAGACTGCTTTACGTAAATAGATTTTTAACCCCTATTTACGACAATGCTATGTAGTTTAAACGACTCTATTAAGGTATGGCTTAAAAGCTTTTTCAGAACCCAAATGGGTTCTCTATCCAGCGTTAATGCTGATGGTGCTTCTTGAATTAGTTTATCTAGATTATAAGCCATAGCTGTATGGTTGTATTGCAAATAAAATTTATCAAATGGGTGTTTATGCATTTAATAAATAAATTGGCATATATGTACTTACTTCTCGACTCTTTCACTAGAATACTCCAGGGAATATTGAATCTAAAAAGATACAATAAAAGTAAAAATTTTATTTTACTTTTTCCTGAATGGATAATACCGTAACGTTAGAATGCAACAAACTTTAAAGTAAAAAAAAAAAAAAAAATACGAATAGGAATACTAATAATAACTCTTTACTAAGCTATAAACCTATAAACCAATGATTGAACCATACCTAATAACTGTTTATGTGATTAAATAAGTTATGTAATTGAATTTGGATACTGTAGCCTGTAGTAGACAGCCCATATACGGGCCAGATGAAGCACATTTTTATTTAAAGGAAGACCGCAGTTGATTGATTAATCCACTGAAAGACTTTTTTCCTTTTCTATATTTTGTTACTATTACAGTTTATGAAACGTAAATCATATATAGCTCACAAAAGTTTGGTCTTTTAGTTTGGCTTTGTTTTGTTGAAAAATGGCATATAATGAAGAAATCATAGAAACAATTACTCTATCCAAGAATAATTTTATTTACAAAACTGGCTACAAATTCAAAAAGGGAATGGAATGTCTAGTTTTCTTTATAGTCAAAGATTGTATACTAAGTTAGTCAGTCAAAATTAAATATCAAAT